CGAGCAGCTGTGTCAGAGTCGTTGTCCTCGGCCGGTGATGAAACGTTTGCAAACAGATTGCCAAGCTCGGCAAAATAGAATTGATCTTCCTGATTAACAAATTTGAGGGTTTATACAAAAAACAAGCAGCACAATGAAAGGAACGTTTAAAAAAGTAAAAAAGAGAAAATTAGGAAACGTTCACGCTTTCCTTGGACAAAGATGAAACAGGAACGATCCTGAAGAATGTGTTACCAAGTCACCAGGTACAGTGATCAGTCATGCTTGCTATAATTGTTCACCTCGATGTCCGCGAAACCAGGGACTAGGGTCCGGGATCCCACTAAACATTCCACCGGTCTAAGCAGTTTCATAAAAATTTGTGATACGCTAATGAAAAAAATCTGCTGGATTGAAACTCGAATCGGGGAACACATAAACATGGATCGAAACGATAGACGGAAACGCTATCTGTGACACGCGAACCACATGGCACGATGTGTACAGACAAGGAATGAATCTAAAAATTACCAACTGGAAGGACCCGTGAGGGTGGGGTATCAATCCGGAGGAAGTGATAGCAGAAAATCACGATTTCGCTTCATCACAAGCACGTGCTGGACAAATCCTGGGTGTATGTTGTGCTACACGATTTCAATAGGTCATTTGAAACTTCGCGGTTTGTTCCTCAGTTGTCAGTTTAACAGCACAGCACACACACATACACATGCAGAGGAACCATCACTCAGAAAGAAGATTATTTTAGGTTTAGAGAATTTGTCGACGGGTAAGAAAGAGATAACTTGATAGACAATGCTTTGCGCGGGCGCGCGCGCACACACACACACATGCACACGATTGCACTCACAGAGAGACAAAGTGAAAACCTTGGGGTCAGGTGCATTTATTCACAAAACACAGGGATAAAAATAACTCCATTTCAGACAGGGAAGGAGGTGTTGTGTCAAAAAGACTGACAGATGAAAAGCGAGTGTAGGAAAGCGAAACAGTGAGCCTGTCTCTTCTGAGGCACAACTATGCATGGAGCGTGACAGGTAAATGTGGCTCTTCATGTGCTGACGCCACCAGCACAAAAAAAAACTGTATAAAGTGGAAAGTCGTCGCATGCCCAATAACAAACATCTTAGAATCGCTTGCCTAAGGGAGCAGAGCTGAGTTCGGTGAGAAAAACTGTGATTTCAAACAGGGGTTCGACTTCGGGGACAATAAGTGTGCACACGGTATACATGTGGCGTAAACAGGTATTGAGGAGCAGAATTTACCGTCAGTCCGATAGAATGTGTGATTATCTGTGAGAGTTTAACAGGATCTATCTTTTATAAGTCACGACGACGACAGTGAATTCGAATTCATCGGTGACAAATACTTAGTAATGGAGCATGCGATGGAACCGGTGAATTCCCGAAGTCCATTGTGTAATCCACACAACCGGTTACTCATGCTTCGCGGATGGAATTGGTAAACAAAAAAAATCACTCTTTTGGAGAGACGGTTTAAATGTATGTATGCCGAAGTCACCATTTATGAATAGTGTTAGTAGTGTACTACACGGGTGGTTAGATGGATGTAGTATTTGATGTGCGCGGATCATGTCTCCCGTATTCGATGATTTTCAGATGGATAGAGTTCGAGGATTTGCAGTCTTTCAACGTAGGTTTTGGATTGTTAAGTTTGATCACTTTGGTTGCTTTCTCTACGAATGTTGGAGTGCCACAGATCCCAGGCCTGTATAGTATACTCGATGCGTGGTTTAGTTTATGCTGATAGCAAATGGGGCAGTAAGTCTGCTACGAAAAAGTTCCAAAAACACATTTAGTAATTCAACTTACTTTAGGGCCTTTGATGACTCTCTAACACAATGTGCGGAAAATTCTAGATCCACCCGAATCAACAAAGCTCAGACCCTTTTCGTTTAGAGCACGCAGTAATCGTTGGATTCGAACTACTTTTGGAAAGCGACCCATGTGACGCAAAGATACAGCCTTGCATTTCTCAACGTGGAATTTGATTTTATTAGTGATAGACCATCGGCCATATTGGGACAAAAAAGTTTCCAACGGCAGCGGAGGAATTCAACGCAATGCATGCAAACCAGATGCGGGGACCAGGACCAGTTCAATGATCTACAAAGTCTATTCAAACTTCGTGAACGGTATCTATCACTCGGATGTGTATCAAACAGTTTTCACGGATGGGGCCATTTTCCATGTGAACGGATAGGTTACAAACTCGTTTCGTCCGGTCATTGAGAACCCGAGACACTTTAGTCGTTTCATAGCTTCCAGGTGTTAGTATGGGTCGGCATCCGTCATAGAAAGATCGTCGAACCTTGCTTCTTCAAACAGAATGCGAGAAGAACAATGTTACCTATTTCGCTGCTTCATGTATTTGATGTTTGCAAATGACACAAGACAATATGTTAGCTGCCACCTGGGGGGGGGGGTATCTGAAGCGAACAGTTTATCCGCGGATATCATGGGGGAGTTGTAGAAACTATCGTCACGCACCGTCAAACTAATTCACAATCTATTATTCTGAAGGTGGAATAACATTGCTTACGCAGTATTTTGTTAAGCAAACAAAACGCTGGGATACACACTTGGCACCTTTTACAGAGCAAGTATGAGTTCGTTTCCTATTTGTGTTTTCTACAGGAATCACGTGTCATTGGCCTAGTTATGAAGGGTGCAAATCGGTCGACCAGAGATGGTTGGGACAGTGGGAGGGATGGTGCTGTAATATCGTTAGTCTATGCCAGCGAATATTGGAGTTGAGACTCCAGGGTGGTTATTATCTGCCAATACTCGAATAGCACAAGGTCCATAACTCATTCTCCTATGCGGGTCTGACAAACACGATCGATCATATAGGTCAGCTGAAACAAGAGACGTGATGCTCGCCCAGCTAACACGGGCGAAAACCGACACGTAGTTGATCACCTCGAGTTTTCAGTATGACCAGTAGACGATTATTGAGACGCATTACACACAACTGGCAACAGGTACATCACATGTATCGTGAACCGATGAGCAGACATTCCCACGTCAGAATGAGAGATTACAAGTTGTGCAATTTGGGGGAAACTATGTCATCTGACAACAAAAATGGCTGGAGGGGAATTTCTTAACACAGGGCCACTGGTGAGATGAAAAAGAACCGAGTGCATGAAATGGCTAAACAGAAGAGAGCTCCGCTAATTAGCTGGATGGGTTCTCGGGTCTGCGGGCACAGTCATACTGCGTAATGCGTTCCTAAATGTTCAGCGTCGATCTGAGTAATGTACATCTATGGCTCCTACGGGACAAATATTACAAAGCGGGATGTGATTTGGAATTGTTGATTTTACACAATCCGGTATTTCTTGGTCTGATACACGTTTTCAGACAAACATTTCCTAGACCTCTCTATCCAGCATCGTCGGTTGACGGGTCTAGCTCTACTGCCGGGAAAACCGCAGTTACAATCGACCAGAAAAGCGCCATATATATATATGAATGTTCACTTGGTTACCAAGATAAGGAACTAGACAGTAAAAGTCATATTATCAGTTCACGTGACATTCTGAGTACGGTTGTTTACCATCAAAACTTTTGCTTAAGCCAGTGACCGGAAGATTGTATTCTACGGGCCTGAAAAGCAACAAGACTTCAAAATGTAATTTAGGATTCAATGTGGGAAGATTGATAGGACAATCCAAGGTATATCGGGGAAATAAGAAAGCGTGGCACATTCAGTTTTCCACTTTTTGAGTATTATTTCGGCAAATACACGTTTGCCACTGCATCTAATCTCAACTTCTGCACAGTGAGCATCTTCGTTCAATTAAATGATAATAAACAGCAGATTTTCAGAAAGAGAAAAGCGATTGATCACAGAACTTCCGGAATTCATGACAAACTGGATAAGTTAGGTCAATTTTGAGGTGACATGCACCAATGGATCACCGCTTTTGCGGCCACATATCCGAGGTATGGTTTCATTATCAAAAGACCTGCAACGCTCTTTATTGCGTGTTTCGCTCGGGATGTTTTACACCACAAGTCACAGGTTTGAGGAATGTCATAAAACAGAAAATAAACGATATCCGATCTGGTAGGACAAGGCCAAGAATCAGTGATCACGAACTATAGGGGGAACAGCAAAACTGAATATGTCCCTGTCCTGTCATTCTTACACGCGAAAACTGCAGCCTACATGTCGTTTGAATTCAATCAGAGGAGAATAGTCTCATACACAAACGGAGACAACGGAACAGCCATTGCAAAAGGAGCGGAACCCATAACTCATGGATCGGAGGAGAAAACAAACACGAGGGATTTTAGTACGGTTACACACAGACATGAAGACACACCTGGTTTACTTCATCGGGTCAGCTGTTTTATCTGATGTTTCACCGCAAAGACCGGAACAATCAAGTGGTGCTAAGAAAAGGGCGTGCTGAAAGGGAGTGTGCTCTTATTAGGAATGTTAAAAGCCTAATCTTGACATATGGGGTCGGTCAGCGAAGCTATCTCGCTTGAAATGCAGTGAAAAGTAAGCCTCTCTGTTGCTTCATTAACCGTTTGTCAGTTTTAATCACCTATTATATTGAACTCTCGACTGCACAGGTAGCGGGCTAAGAACTCGTAAGATCAACCGATTGCTTGAATTACGCCATTAGCAAACTAATCGAATACTGTCGGTCGGTACAAGGAGACCCACTGCTGTTATTGATTCAGTAACAAACGATTTAAAATAATGATGAAGAGTGAACAACCTCCCTCCCTTCTTCCGGTTGGGAAGCGGCTAGAGGACAGCCTGGAATTGGGTCAAAAACATGAACAACCCGGAGGTGCACCGGATGTGGGAGAACAACAGATCACGTGGCAAGGTGAGTCTGAAACTACAACGCCCTCCGGGTTAGGTCAGTTTGAGATATCCGATTCGGGTATGGTGTCAAATCGACTTCAGTGAAGTGAAACAAGTATGGTTCAGAGAACAGGATGATGACTTGGACTCACGATTTTGGATTAGCACACAATTCTGCACCAACTCCATGGACGGACTCCAAATCTGAAATAGAGATTTGGGTGAAAATATCAGTAACACGAGGAAAAAGGGGAACAAACACAGAAAAGTACATTGGGAATGATACAGGCGATACTATTATCATTCCAGGCAAATGGTTCAAAGCCACACATCAAATCACGTAAGGTTAAAGCAGCTGCACCATTGTGCAACGAGTGTGAATGTCAGCCAAGAGTTCACAATACAGTTAGTGTGGATACAAGTGGTGCTAGATGGAACGAAACACGTTCAGATCTAATCCCGCATTTAAGATATGGATGTTTATCCCATCGTCTCGCGATTCGAGTATTCCAATCTCGCATCCTGATTTCTCACTTGTCGATTAACAACCTCTGATTTAATGCACCCATGCTCCTCAGTATCGAATCTATGCTGATTTAATATCAGATAAATGAAGATAAAAGGTTTTCAATGTGTAAACAAATGGTAGTGCAGTCCAAATTCAGATTTTCTTAGCATATCATTGAAATATGACGAAGCAGGTCCACGAAGCACCGATGTGTCCGGAACAGATTTGAGCTTCTGTCAGAAAGCAGCCTGTGAAAATAGATATGCTAAAGAGGCACACGTACAATAGTGTATGTGTGAACTCTATGGGGAGAAATGAAGCGACTCTGAGCTTTTTTGAAACCCTCGCTCCCGCCGCAACGATTCCCATTCACAGACGAGCAATGTTGAGACAAAACGGTCACGAGGGGGTGCGATCTTCTGGCACGTGTCAAAAGATGCTGCTGCAAAACCGTGACTGTTAGAGATAGAGATCAACATGATCAAAAGATAAAGGCTGAAAACCGATGACTATGTCCGCTTCAGTTTAAGATGCTACTGTATATATTTTAGACGTTCTGGAACTATACTTGAACTATACTTGAAACAAATGACGGGACATATTAATTCGACAAAGGATATAACAATATTGAGCAGCGATGAGATGGATGGAAAGAATGGTACAATTTGTGACTAACTGTTTCCGAAAAGAGGCTTATACACAGTTGGCAACGCATCTCACACAACTGATGTTCGGAATTTCGAGGAGGCTCGGAGATAACTAAACGTGTGCGGAGGGAGGGAGTCAGGTCACTTGTTCAAACGCGAAGAGTTCTACTTTTACTGTGAAAATGCACCCGTGTTATATGTACCTTGATAATCGTAGTTGCTTGTTCGCAGTTCAGCCAAAAATGATACACAACCTCATCGAAAACAAGGAAAAAATGTTTAACAAAAGTTACTTTCAAAAATCAGCATACATTTGCCACACTTTAATTTCGTTACAAAAACGTGAGCTAGAAACCAACGAGTTCCGGTTTTGTTTGATTTCTGAAATCAGTATCCAACTAGCGATTAACTGTTAAAAATCGTTGGACCCCGTTCATCTGAAATCAAATGCTCACAGATCAATTGTATAACTCCTTGGCCAACTTTATTTCATTATCAGAAAATTAACGGTTGCTAGATGTACTTCTTCGCCTTTCAGTTCACGCTTCATCTGTCCCGTCCGTACACGACGAAATTCGCCAAGAGTACAATAGAGCGGTTACGAAGATAAGCAAACCGCGAGAGGTTAAATAAGCACACGAAGTACTTGGATTGATTGAAGGTCAGTCTAGATCGAACCGAGATATTATGGAAAAGATTACTGGAACAGACACAGAAAAAGTTTGATACCAATATCGATAGTTTCGAGTAAATGGGTAGGGGAACTGCTGCAGTAGGGAAACAAGGAGGATGACAGAACCGCTCGCTAGAGAAATGACGAATTATTTACGAGTGTTCTGTATCTTTTTCGCACCTAAATAAGTTCTGTTCGTAAGGCATCCAACTAACCACACCAGTATGCGCGCGGGACAGCCAAAGGTTTTTTTTAGTTTACGAAGGAGGAGGGAACGCGGATCAGAGTCACAGGTGAATGAAAAATTCATGAGAGTACGCACATCTTGCACATTCCGGGGATTTCGATGCAAAATGAGACAGGGATGCGACAGTATGCCTTTTTAAAAGCAAGCTGAGCAGGGTCTTCAGGAGCATTGGAAGAGGAAATAACAAAATTGAGAATGACCAATTAAGACCACATGATGTTACATTACGTTACCCTATGGAAACCAACGTCCGATTGATTTAGGCTTAACATAGGCCTGTTTGCAGTTACTTTCGTCTTCCTCTCAGGCACCGCAATTCAATTGGGTTGTGTTTTTCTGTTAGCCACGCTAAACACTGAACTATTCTTCGTTTCACAAAAATGAATGAACGGTCTTTTGTCTGTTGTGAAAGAGACTGCGTATGGAATGTCATTCAAGAATAACTAGTATGAATTTGCGGGTAGGCTATATCCGTCGACTAGAAGTTTTCGATTATCGGTGTTTACGCAGTTTAGCCCATGTTGGATGAAGCGAACGGGTTAGTAACGTGGAGGTAAGCCGTCGTGTGTTTGGAAGTCTGTCAGGCATAAACCTGCTAGCATACCGAATTCACATTATTAGGCTTCGGTGGCTAGGGCGCGTACTGCGTATGCATCGTCTGCCGCACCGCGCTTTATTCGCTGTAGCTAATCTGGGTTGGAGGAAACCACGTGGAGGTCAACAGATGACGTGGAGACGAGGCATGAAAAAATGCAGAGCCATTAGGTAGAGTAGGTGTCTCTCGCCTTCCAGGTTGGGGTCCGAAAGACTCCACAACTGGTTGGTTGGAGACACTGAGGGATATGGCAGTGAACCGGCAGCAGTGGCGTTCTTGTTGTCGTTTCTTATCAGATCAGAATGCTTGAAACGGTATGTATGCAGAGTTCGATTGCGTACTGTGTGTTGACCATAGTGGCTCACCTTCGCTCTTCCTCAAAATAGATCCAACCCCTGTCCACCTTAAATTTTACCACTAACCTTGTATGCATCGAGTTTGGCAGCGGTTAGTGAAGTTCGCTTCACGGTATTTCGCTGTACGATGATGATGATGATGAACTAGTATACGTATCACGTGGAACACTTTGTATTTTGGATATAAAACCAATAACAAACGGTTACCTTGAAGTTAGACACTGTGCACCGCGAAGAGACGAATGGTGGAGTGATTTGAATAACAATTAGAAGCTTCCGGGGAAACCATTCTGATACTTACGTACACTTTACTTATGCGGATTTGTATTCATAATCAAAATGCAATGAAATGGCAACAGTCAGGAATTTCACCGAAAAATTGAAACAATCTGAATTGTGATCACTACTGGTAATGCATCAATCAGCCGAATGCCTCAAATATGGGATAAGTGGAGAGCAAACGAGTCGAACGTACCTCGGTGAAGTCCGCTGCGATCGTTGGCTTTTAACAGCTGTGAACCAGTCGATGATGTGGACTGAGCCGATGATAAGTCACTGACTGACGCACGACCAAGATGATGATGATGGTGGTGGCGATGCGATGCGTGTGTTCCCCCGACCTGATTGGTCACTGGAACACCACACTGCATCGTTGGTGCACGCAGTGCTTGCATAGAGCTGAAGTCACGACCGATGGAATCCCATCCCAGAGGGATGGGTTTCACGGTCGGTGAGGAGAGACGTCGAGCCGCATTGACCATGCGGCTAAGTGATCCAATACCCCAGAAACAACAGTGTTGTTGATCGTCCGAAATGATGGATAACATGGTGTGTGACAGGCCCAACGAAGACCCGTAACAGAAGGGAACGATTGAGGAATTGGTTACACATGCCGGATTTTGTAGACGATGATGACGCTGATCCACCGGGAGCCCAATGGACCAACTGCGAATTCGTGGACGTCTAAAGAGTCTGTTCGGATCAGCGAACACGGTACTCGTCGAGATAGACGCTGGTGACTCCAAGGCTATTTCCGCAGCATCAGACAAATGATCCGTTTGGACGGAATCCGTAGTCCAAGTCAAAGTGGATTTGCCGGGCGATTTGGGTGCGAATAGTGGCTCGTTTGATGGGATGATTGTCTCCAGGCTGATTGCTTCCACATTAACTGGCTCGGTCTGTGGGGGAAAATTGATCGTAGTATTTGTTTTATCAAAACTGTGTGCGTAATTAGGGAAATAGAAAACCGCAGTGGAATTCACAGAACACTAGAATGACTTGTGGGGTAAACGAAGGCGTACACTATCCGGTTTCATCGATCCCCTGAAAGTCGTGAAGAAACACAGTAGAATAATATACAACGAAGAATGCGGTCATTGGAATTCGAAAAGGATGTCGAATGCAGCGATCCGTAACGAGATGGCATAAGACGAAACATGAATATCCAAAACCCGGATGAGGACGACATGAAAGCTGAACGAAACAACTTAAGCACTCGTTGTCAAGACTTGAGTCTCTTTCACACATAGATTCATCGTTTTATGCAGTAGGGTTGGGATCTATGCATTCACGATAAAACGCAATGTTCAGAAGGAAAGGATGAGAGCTGTTTTGTAGATAAATATATTGCTTTGAACTGACTATCCTTCGGATTTGATCTTCACGTGCGTTACCAACCTGACAACCGGCCGAACCGAAGTATCAATTCATGTTTGTTCAGGTGTCGTCTTCAGTGATAGTCAGTTTTGGCCCGGCAGGAAAGCAATGTATGTGTGCTAGCACTCGGAGAATACACTTTGAATTCTTTCAGCAACGATAACCACTCGTGATTGATGGGCAATGTTGATGGTCTTTAGTGTGGACTGCAATTCTAAGGAGTTCGGTAATTGCCAACAGACAATTCCACCGCAAGTGGATTGTGTTTCATTCAACAAAGTTACGACGTATTTAGGATCAAATTATTTTAGCATGGGAAACCGGTTCTGACAGATATCGCTCTATGGGTCTTGAAGTACATTTGGAGATGTTTCGCAGCCACTTTGAGATCATCTCCATCCAGATCGGAAGCATTCGATCGTTCCCGTCCACTCGAATGACAAATCCACGAAGTAAGAGTAAAGTGGGGTTGTGAAATGCTGCAAGGCTATTTATTTCACAATTCCCGAGGTTAAAACAGGTTTTCCAGCCCCACAAGGTCCTCGTTCATAACCCATCTAACAAGATTTCGGGACTTTAGAGTCAGTGATGCGAAAAATCGATCAGTTGGAATCATACATTATCTCCCGTAGACTTTTAAAGCCATGATTTTCTATGGAGGCATTTGAGACAGAATATGTTTTACGCCCGTTAATCCCATCCGGATAGAAATGAGTCGAATGAGCAGTATCCGATTAGGCACACTGTCTATTCTGAATCCAAGTGATACATGTGCCATGAAAAGCTTAATTTAGCCAGAACAATTTGTGTGTGCCGAATTTGGCTAAAGGAGGATGGAGAAATCTGTGGACAAGGGATGTGAGCGGGGGTCGTGTAACTGGTTCAAACGAACAAGGGAAGAAAAAAGCACAAACTTGATTAAGGGTCTCGGTCTGGTTGATCGCACTAGAAGCAGTCAAAATAACTTGTATTCTAGTGTTACCATGGATTTGTTCCGGAATTTCTCCGTAAAATGTTCTCCGATTTTCTACAACTGTTGCCCGGTTCGGTAACCAAAAATGGCCACAAAAACCGGAGCATCAAATTGCATGATCGTACAAACAAATAAAACGGAACACCCAAAGACTTGAGGTAAGTAAAATTCGACAGAAATTCAGTGATACCAGTTTCGCAAATCCCGTTGCTAACATATCGGACGTAAGAACAAAGAGGAATAGTCTTATTTATCATCCGGATAGATGATTTTTCAACTTGTTGGTCACTGAAGTATTTTTCCATCCGTAATTATCACAAATTCACACATTCAAAGAGAGACGAACCGAGGCAATACGAACCTGTCCGTCAAAGTCTGCGTTATGCACAGTGAAAAAGTATGAGGTATACATTGGATGATGCAACGTCATCCAGTAAACGATCAGAGAGAATATGTCCCTACTGAGCACCGGTTCGTTAACCCAGCCGATCATGAATTTTTGAGAATTTGGCGAGTGCTATGGGTGATACTAATGATATATATATAT